GGAGTCACCTTCCGCTCGTGAAATCTCACCCTGCATCATCCCCTTTGCAAAATCCCCAGAGCCTAAAGCTTGGCAGTCCCTGTAATACCTGAAACACAGGCAGCAAATAATCCACCCCCTCCTCTGGAGCCTCTCAGGTATCTGCTCCGTGAGAATGGGGGGCCTGCTCCTGGTCCCTGTGTGGGATCCTGTGGCTCTGCCTTTTTCCATTCCTTCTTTCCATTCCTTTCTTTAATTAATCAATTCCTGGTGCCTGTGTTCTCCTGAACACTGGAGACATCTTTTTCAGGCCTTTGTTAGTGTCTCACTGGGGTGGAACAGGGCAAGGCTAAGCCAAATCTAATAACTCACTGATTTGTTAATGTGGTTTTTGGGAAATGTTAATCACTGGTACTTGACAATTATTAGTAAGTACCATTTTTAAGAATTCCCTTTTTTAAAACTGAAAAGTCACATGAAACTGGGAAAGCCCATGATTTTACAGTTCTTTACATTTTCACCTGACTGTGGCAGAGAGACCAACTCGTATTTTCAAGCCACTGTGAAGCATCTTGTCCAGTGAGCCCTGTAAAATTCACCATTTGAATAGCAATTCAGTTGTTGTTTAGCTTCCTCCCCCTTGGAAGAGGGAGAGGTCATCCAGCAATTCCCAATATTAGCTTGGCCTCAGTCAGGCTGCTCAGCTGCAGTGTGATTTTGTGCTAAACAAACTGTACTGTAATGTAGGAAGCCAAAAAAAAGGTGGAAAATAGAAAAAGATGGTCATTTGGGACCTAGTGAGGTTTTATGAATGGGATTGCACTTAATGGTGGATAAATTAATGGTTATTACCATTTTTATATATATACACACACACCAATATTACACATAATTGATATATTGTATTGGTATTTGTATAATATATATGGTAACTGGTATATATGTAATAATCCATATCAATATAAAATATATTGCCATGTATTAATTATAATAATGGCTAACCAGAAAGCAAAATGCTCCAATCAACCAAACTAACACAGTTCTTTAAGGAAGTTCTGCCATGGACTTGCTGGAATATTCCCATAATTGCTTAAAAATGATATCTGGAGATCACGGGACCAAAAAATCTGGATCCAGATGAAGTTTTTCTAATGGTGGTGCATATAATAAGTGAAGTTAAAGTTCATACAGTTTTATTTCATATCCATTGCGATCATGAGTGTCTGTGACGTGCTCATGTGGAAAAAGAGTCAAATCCTTGTGGTGTGGAATTTTTTACAGCAAAACAGGCTTTGGGATACTTGAAGAACTTTTCTTTTGACTTTTGATGGACAACTAAGATAAATTTTAATGTGTGATGGTATTGGCTTCATCCTTGGTATTTTATATTTGAACAGGCTTTCTATAGTTTCTTTATGCCTGTTATGCTGTTGAAATAATTGAAATGACTAAAACATGAATTATATATCTGAAATATTAATTATATTAATATAGGGACCTGCTGACAGTCATCTCATCAAATTAATAGCATGAGATCAAATGCTTTCCAGTCAGTGTAGAAGATTTTACAGGTTTCTTCAACACACAGATTGTTAAACCATTACTCATTTTTTAATGCGAGAGTGTTTGACCTTAATTACTGTCCATTGTGGGTTTTACTTGGTGATTCATAATGTAATTTAAAGGGAAAATCCTATAGCAATTACTTAACCAGGAGATAAATCAAACCAGGAGATAAATCATGAAGTCCTTACTTTCCACCTCTCAGCCATTTCCTAAGCTGTTTAAAAATAGCAGTGTAGATCCTGACTCTGCTTTTATTGTTGGAAATGTGTGTTCAGCCCCTGGAGGATGCTGGAAGTTGACACGATTATGGATGTTTTGTTAATTAGCTTTAGGGTACATACAGCTTTCAGCTGGTAATTGCAGGACCCTCGTTGGCAGCAGTGCTGGAACTCTGAGGTTTATTTTTAAGTGTGCAGTTGGGGTTTAAGGTATTGAATTGTCAGTTCAGATTGGTTTGTTCCTGAGGAATCCCTCTGGTCCCCGTGTTCCAGCCTTCCCTGTGTGTTCCCTCTGAAGCTCTCCAGGACATTCAGTTGCACTTATTGTAAACAGCCAAAAAGTGCCAGGAAAAGAGGGGTATGGAATTATCCCATCTTGTGGGGATGCATGTGGCCATTGGAAATGCTTCCAAGGGTTCCCTGTGCTCTGATGTTGGGATGCTGTGGCAGAGGAATCACAGGAGAGCACTTGTGTAAGGATTAGCCTGGAGCAAGGCTGAGTGTACAAAAACCTCATTTTCCTCAGAAGTGTCCGGAGGAACAAGGACAAATCCTTACATATATTGTTGCTTTCAAGTCTGTGGTTCTATTTCAAGTACTGGAGCTGGAAAAAAAAGAGCAGTTCCCTGATAGGGTTGTCTCTACATGGAATTGTTAGGGTTGGAAAAGACCTTTAAGATCATCAAGTGGAGATATATCTATATCTCAGGTATAGATAATTCTCTTGTCTTGATTAAACTTGCAAAACATCAGCTTTTGACCCATTAACCACAAAGATTCTTCCTTTTAAAATCAAAATATGGGGAGCAGTGTTGAAGTATCTAAAGGGGCTCCAAGAGAGCTGGAGAGGGTCTTAGGACAAGACCTGAAGGGGACAGGACACAGGGAATGGCTTCCCAGTGCCAGAGGGCAGGGTTAGATGGGATATTGGGAAGGAATTCCTGGCTGTGAGGGTGGGGAGGCCCTGG